CTGCTAGGCACGGGAGCACAGGGAGTCGCCGTCCTGCTCAGGTAGAGTTCCGGTTTCCGTTTGAGCCATAAGGAATTCTGCTGGTCTCAAAGTCCAAACCAAACATTTGTACCCCCCCCCTTATCCTGTTTAGTATTTAAGATTCTCTTTTTTTACTCCAAAACAAAAATACTCCCTACCTGCTTCGTTTTAAGATTTTTGCCGTATGCAGGTGGGGGCGGGGAAGGATCGTTTCTGAAAGATCTTTCAAAAAGACATCAGATCAAATATTAAAACATGAAAAAGTTGTATGCGCATTCTATTTACTTACAAATTCTGGCGGAGTTTTAAATCGTCCGTGGTCAATGCCAGGGGGGCCCTTCCGGTGTTCTGGTCCACGCAACCGGGCTGCACCCCTCGGACACGGCCGCCGCCGAGGAGAATGACGCCCAGTCCCCGTCCACGTGACGGTGACCTCTGCTGGGAGGGGAGCGCCCGCGGAATGCTGGGACTGGTAGTCGCCCTGCCCCTCCCTCACAGTCTGCAGCCCCTCCCTCACTCCCCCCTCCCCCTCTACCGCGCAGCGAGCCACCAGCGCCAGGCAGTGGTGAGTGCGCGCGATGGAAGCACAGATGTCCCCGTGCCTCGTGCTGCGATGTGACAGGGAAGGCGGGCGTCTCTGCCAGACGACCCTACCCTTACAAGGATCCTGAATGCACAGGCTGTTGGGACCACGCAGCCAACACACTGAGAGGCACTGCCCAATGACAGGGCCAGCACCAGTCAGACATGAATTCAGTTTGCTCACGTCCAATGGGGTGGTTGTGAGTAAAGAGCTAATGAGGTAACGGTGTCTGCTAAATGACAGCAGCAAATGAATAAGAAAAGCTACTATTTTGATCTGTTAACTTTATAAATGTGAAAATTGAAAAATGGAAAGCAATTTGCCCAAGAACACATAATCAGGGGCAAAGTCAAGTACAGCTGATGGAACAACAGAAGTTTGAACGGTGTGGTCCAATGGTACTGAGATTTTTTTCCCAATAAACATGTAGTCTGCCCTCCCTACAAGAGTTTGGACCCCGCAGATTCAACCACCGCAAGTGGAAAACAGGACTTTCCATCGGGATTGGGAATCCGGGGCAGGCATAAGACCAGCTGTATACATTGTTCCATGCCATTTTATATAATGACCTTACCCATGCCTGGATTTTGGTATGGGCAGTGGTCCTGCAACCAATCCCCCTCAAATATGGAGGGACACTGAAGTTCCGTTTTTTCAATGGGCTGGTGTCAGGGCCCCTAACCCCCACCTTGTTCAAGGGCTAACTGTAAGTCTAAAATTCCTGTTCCTGACCTACACCAATTCAAGACAACATAGAAGAAATCTGCTCACCGAATCTCACTTCCCTGTGCCTCATTTTCCTCAAAACACGAACACGCTATTTTACTTATTTTGATTTTTATCTGACTCCCAAAGAATATAAATTCCAAGTAGACAGGGGAGGGTTGTCTTTTGGTCTATTCTTCTACTGCTGTATCCCCGTCACCTAAAACAGGATCTGGCTAGTACACAGAGGCCCAAATACTTTTTAGATTAATGATTCTTCATGGAACAGTGAACTTAACTAAGTTCAAATTTTCTTAACTTCAGAGTAACATTTCCAGCTAGACATTTTCATTTGTATTAACAATCTTTAAAATATTTTGTCTATCACTTGTGAGAATGGGGAATAAATGAAACCAGCTACTGTCTTTAATTTCCTTCCTATTTTTAATATTTTCATCATTACTTCCTTATTAAAAATAACAATGTTGCCTCTTTCTACTAAGATATAACCCCAAAGTCATTTGCCTAGCTGAGCACAAATGTGAATGGATTGACAGATTTTTTTCCTCAGTATATAAGTGGATTTCTGCTTACCCCAAACAAAATTCATATAAAAAATTTTTTATTTTAAAATGTTTCATTTTTATTTTTTGATATATTTTTTATTGATTTCAGAGAGGAAGGGAGAGGGAGAGAGTGACAGAAACATCAGTGATGAGAATCATTGATCAGCTGCCTCCTGCACTGCACACCCCTTACTGGAGATCAAGCCTGCAACCCAGGCATGTGCCCCTGACCAGAATCAAACCTGGGACCTTTTAGTCCACAGGCTGATGCTCTATCCACTGAGCCAAACTAGTTAAGACAAAATGTTTCATTTTTAAATAGCTGCTTTATTTAGAAATCCAGTGTCAAGAACACTAGATATTTAGACCTAAGACTAACAGCTAAGTATATACATTAATGCCAGTCATTTAATCTTGATTGTAATTTTTGTATATGCCTTCCCTAATTAATGGCAAATTCCCTAGGGATAAAGAATATACTCATTAACTTAATTCATATATTTATTAAATATCTATTATGTGCCAGCATAGATGTTTAATAAATATGTGAATTAATGAGTACAGGGATGGGCAGTAGGTTGAATTCAACCACCTCAGGAGGCCGTGAGGCTACCCAAACAGGTCAATGAAATTCATGTTTGTTTACTGATTTTCAAAAACTGTAAGAATGTACAAATAATGAAGGCCAGCAATTTGAGCACTTACAAGATTGTACCTAAATGCACTGCCCCATTGTGACATTCTTTTGAGTTAATGAAACTATTAATAACCTGAATGTCTTTTATATGAACTGTAAACCTACTTTTGCCCACCCCTGTATAATGTTATAATCATGTCGTCTTACCTGTCTTCTCCTTTGATTCACTGAATTATTCTACATATTTAAAATTCCCAAAGTAATTTTCTAACATCCAGAGCTCATGCCTCCTCTTGGTGTCAGTGGCCCAATTCCCTTCTAGTTATGACTATGAATCTACTGTCTCTGCAATGTCACCTGTTTTGGACACCCCTGTAGCTTGGAAAACATCTACAGCAGAATATCTGGTTTGCCTAGGCTTTAACTTTACCTCACAGTTATGATGAAAGTTTGTATTTGTAAGGTTGCTAGGTGTGGGAGGCAGGTATGGCAGAGCTAGGATTATGTATTCTTATTACTTAGATGAAGTAGGGAAAATCCTAAGCAAATATGTGTTAATGTTAGTTACCATGCCTCTGATTTTAGGATTCTCATGATTCATATTTTTAGGAAGCCATTCCTAAAACTTCACAAGCATTCTTAATTATAAAATAACACATTGATTTGATTAGCCAATAATATGTAGAGCCTCTTGTCCTTTCTTTTTTAATATGTTACCCAAACCTAAGTTTTACAAGTCTGTATCCAAGTTTCTATATAGTTACCTGTCCTGGTAAATGTGTTAGAGGCTTTTATTGTATGCATTAATGTTCATATTATGAACATTGTATATTAATACCATAAAGTTTTATATCCTTTAATAACTGCATTACAGAACTTTTACTATTATAGCTTAATTAGTAATATAATAGGCACCTTATGCAGAAGGTATCACTTAAAACAAAAGCCAGGTATTGACCAAGCATTTTGTTGGAAAAGAAGTCCCACAAGTTTTCCAAACATACTATCTAACTCAAGCTGACAAGGGAGAATATGCTTCTAATTTGCCCTTAAAAGATGTTTTTTTTAAGTTAGCATCTGCCTTGTGCCTGTTTCTCCAGTCTCTTTGGCTATATTGTATATAGCAAACAAAGCTAAGCTACACTAACAGGCTAAAACTTCCCTCTTTAAAGCATGCAACTCCTTGTGTCTGTGACCAAATATATGGCCTATTAGTAAAAACATAGAACATGTTAAGATTTCATTATATTGAAATTTGTGCCCAGTTTGAACAAATGAGTTGCTCAAAATCATTCTAAGGTGATTTAAAATACTTGAAAAAATAAACAATACCTTCGAAATTTTCAGAATCATTCCATTTTTAAGATCTATACACTGAAATTATTAAAAAAATCCTCCATGAGGATTTTGAAGTGTGTATTTTGAAGGTAACAATCTTTTAATTTTTCAGACTTTACACTAACTTAATTCCCCTCCCTAAGTGTATATAAATTTGGTTACATATTTGTAATTATCTACATCCATAAGTATGGTATACAGATATGAAACCAACAGTGCTTTTTATTCAGTAAACTAAACACAGGAATCCCCAAATCAAATGCAGTATCATCGAGTCATGCCCAGCATCAAAGTAAAAATAACAGATCACAAGTTAAAGTTACAGCTGTCTTTAATCCATGTATTCGTTCATTTCCCTGCCCGTAATACAGCACCCGGGTTCGGAGCGGCGCTGCTGGAAGAGCTTCCCAGGAATGACATGTGCTGTGCGTTCGCTTCACTGGGGGAACCCACCCGCGTGTGCCTGTCGTTCCCATTTCTACACTCAACAGGTGACTTACAATTTAAAACCGGGTAACTGCTCTCATCAAGAGCCTGAAACCAAATTCTTCTCCAAGAAAAGGTGACACCTGCAAAAGTATCTTTATCATCATCACTCCTGCCTGCTGGGGGCATTTGCAGGCAGGGCTAAGGCAGCGGCGGGTCAAAAAGGTTCCAGGAAAACTGCGCAACAGCCGGGGGAGGGGGGCGGGGGAACCGACACTTCTCCATCCCGTCTCCTCCGCTTTCCCACTCTCGCTACCGGCTGCCAGCGCGGGCGTCTCCGCGCGCGGGCAACAGTTGCCACGAGCAGCTGGGCTTAGGGCACGCCATTTGCCCAGCCGGTTGTCCCTTCTGCGTCGTCCCCTCCCTCTCTCCTCCAAGGCCGAGGACAGCGAAGGCCGCCTCCCTCTTCTCCTCCTCTTTGGTGCCTGCAGCCAAGAGGCGGGAGTGACCCACAGCAGCTGACCCAGCAGGGCACTGCCTCTCGCACAGCCCTCGCCCTCGGACACACCATGGGCCCAGAGGCGGGTTTGCAGCACAGCAGCGACGACGCAGGCGGCAGCCCCGGCGACTCGCAACTGCCTCCCTGACCACCGCGACCACCGCCCGGCACCCCGAAAAGCCATCGTCACCAACGGCAGGTGAACTTAGGGCCCCCCAAACCATCTAGGGGCGATAGACGCAAGCTACGACAACAACTATGGCGGGCGACGGGCGGCGGGCGGAGTCGGTGATCGAAGGATGGGGGCTGCACGTGACACCCCGAGCCCCCCTGCGGGAGGGCCGGCGCCGGCTCGCCCCTGAACTGGGCGGCGGCAGTGACGCACGTGCGCACGGAACTCCGTCGCCGTCGCGCCACGCCCGGCGGGAAGTGAGGTTCTCGGAAGAGCCGCCGGAAGTGTACGGCGACTTCGAGCCCCCGGTGGCCAAAGATAGATCTCCGATGGGAAAACGAATCCAGCTAAAGGAGTTCCGGCCCCAAGCTACGAAAGAGGAAGTGAGAGAGCGCGCCTACAACCTACGGTCTCAGCCGCGGAGGCAGCCGCGACTCCAGGAAGCCGTGGAGATGAGAACGCGAAGGGCTGCGCGCCTCCAGCAGGAGAACTCACCGCAGCCTCCGCCACAGCCGGTGATGACCCGGAGACGGTTACGGGACTCGCATTCCTCAGAAGGTGAGGCGGACGGAGGTAACAGTCCCGCAAGTCCGAGAGCGAGTGCGGGAGGAAGGGAGGGCGAGCTCATTCATCCTCGCACGGGCTCATCCCCGCCCCGGCTCATCCCCGCCCCGGCTCCTCCGCCCGGGTGAAGTGGGTTCTCTCGTCCCGTCCACCCCGACCGCAGGCGGGAAAGAGGCACAGGCGGGAGGACGAGAGGCAGTCGCGCGGGGCAGTGAGCAGAGCCGGGGAGCCCTGAGCATCCGTTTAGGGGTGTCGGGATTGCCTCTTTCCGCACGCCTTCACGAGGGGCGGCGAGCCGGCGGCTGGCGGGACATCGGATCGCCCCAGGCTCGGTTTCACTGCGGTTTCCTCTAGCCGGCGGCTGTTTCTGCTTAAAGCCGCTTACAGTTCCTCCTTTCATTCTCAGAGGCCGAAAGTTGCCAGCTGCGGATTACGGTTCTAACCCAACTCCCAGTCTTTTCCCTGCACTGTCCACGTGAGGGACGAGGGAGGGGATCTGTGAGTAGTCGGTGCATTGATTTGAGACCCCGCCCAGATCCGTTCGCGGAAATGGGGTCGGCCAGTTATCTTGAACTGGAAGCCCCCTGGGTCTGATGGACTGGAGCCGGTTGCTCTTTCTCGTGTGGCGGTCTGTGCCCAACATTTGCCACTCTGGGGCCCTCATTGTAATCGCAACGATTTAGTAGTAGTAGCCCGACAAATGGGCCAGAAGGATGCTGACAAAGTTAGTGTATCGTGTTACATGAGTCACAGGCGAATCAACACCTTGCCCCCAGGCCCCCACCTAGCAGAGTCACAGGTGATGTTTCATGTTAGCCCATGTAAGGCACCGATGAGGTAAGAAGCCGGGGGTCTGAATCACAATGGGATTACATACTTAGACCATAGATAGGAAGAGGACGTGGATTTTCAGCTTAGAGTAGAGGAATAGGCTGCCCGTTTACCTGATGACATATGAAGTGCTGACACATTTGAAGATGTGTTCATTTTGGAAACTTTATGTTAAAGTTAAGTAAATTACTATAGGGTGTAGTCACTCGAGACAGTTGTTCCTATGGGAAGTCATATAGTAATTAATAAATAATAACAACACAAGAATGAACTCTGTTTCTGGTACTCACAGCTGCAAACCTACTTTTGCTCCACCCGGTGTGTTCCTGAAGACAGAGATCCTATCATATATGTTTGGTAGTGCTTCTGCATCTCCTTCAGTGTCTGGAAGAATGCTTTGCACATCTTTTTATTTAACAAGACCTGTTAAATAGTATGGACTCTTCTACAGAGTCTAATGCAGCTGTGTCAGTTAATATTTTTAACACATAAAGGATATGCCTCTATTTAAGTACATCTATAAGGATCTAAACATTTTTTTACTCTTCTGCTTTCTTCCACATCATTTGATACTAGCCCAGCGATTTTCAACCTTTTTCATCTCATGGTGCACATAAACTAATTACTAAAATTCTGTGCTCACCAAAAATTATATTTTTGACCGATACGAACAACAACAAAAAAGGCATAATTTTGATTCATTTACACCAGATGGCTGTCATTTTTAAAATTTGAAAACCCAAGGGAAAAGAGGTCAGTGTCCCTCAGTAGTCAGGTATTGTGTGCTTTAAAAATTCTTGCGGCACACACGTTGAAAATTGCTGCTCTAGCCCATCTTTTAAAATTTTTAAAGTAATATGTTTTTGTGGTAAAGCATCAGTGGGGAGGAGTTTTTTGTGTGTTTTTTTTTTATTGTAGTTCTGACTAGGTACATTTGTAAGTTTTGGTAAACTTAATTTCACATTTCTAAAGCAATGAATTACTTGCATTTCTGCTCATATATTGCTATTAACATGAATATATACTCTCTACCCAGATCATGTATTCTGAATTTTGACAATTGTCTTATCTATTCTTTAGAGGAAGAGCTATCTCCACAAACTGTTGTAAGCCAAACAGTCTCAAAGAAAACTGTCAGGAGAACACAAGAGACTTCAGGTGAGAGAGTGATTTTGGTTTTTTCCCTTAACCCGGCAACTTTTTTTATGTACAGATTATAACCTGGTTCATCAGGCGTCCCAAATCATACTTCATTCAGTTTCAGTGAATCTTCTTAATAGTTGTTTATTGAATTAAGCAATGTGTCAAGGAAAGACAGCGTACGAGTACTGTAGTGCCTACTAAGTGCCAGCCACTTCATACGTATTAATTCAGTCACATAACTGTGTGTCTCATAACTTATTCAGTCACAAGGCCCTTTCATTTTCCCCAAGTATCACTGTTACTCTCCCATGTAATAATTAGCTACCCAGTAGTATAAATGGGTGAACTGCCTTACCCGCCTTTCATTTAAAATGGGTTAAATGGTTTGCATAGAAAAGTCAGTCTTGTCCATTTGATACTACATTTCATGAAATCTCAGATATCATCTGTAAGATACACTGTCATTGTTTCACGTACCACTTAGAAGGAAGAAATGCTGCTGGTAAACTGTAATATGCCATAGATGGTGTGATGCATCCCAATTCAGAGATGTTAAAGTCTAAAAATATTTGCATCTTGGTATCTCAATGTAACATGGAAGTAGGCTACATTTGATAATCTACTTAAGTTTTTAAAACTTAACTATTTTGAAAAGCAGGGGAAAGAATTAACTAAATTTATTAGTGCTTAGTATCTTTTGTTTTAGTTCCATTTATTTTCAATTTGCTTTTTTTTAAAAATATATTTTATTGATTTTTTACAGAGAGGAAGGGAGAGAGAGAGTTAGAAACATCGATCAGCTGCCTCCTGCACATCTCCCACTGGGGACGTGCCCGCAACCCAGGTACATGCCCTTGACCGGAATCGAACCTGGGACCTTTCAGTCCTCAGGCCGACGCTCTATCCACTGAGCCAAACCGGTTTCGGCTCAATTTGCTTTTTTTGATATTAAGACAGTCCCACATCAGATGATTATAACTATTGAAACTGATCATCCCTGGATTTTTTTTAACCCAAATCCTGACTTATTTTCTTATCCATTGCTTCTAAGACAATTATGCTTTATAGTTTGAACTGTTCTATTCTCAATTTAGAATAAAGTACATCTGGTTCAACTTTAGTTCTCTTTAAGCTTAATTCCTTGAACAGCCTATGTTACTGTGTTAAGATTATAAACTATCTTAGAAAAATGCTTTGAGTAATCAGTGCTATAATCAGACTTTTTAGGCCATTTGGAAAAAGCATATTTTCTTTTTTAAAAAAAATATATTTTATTGATTTTTTACAGAGAGGAAGGGAGAGGGATAGAGAGTTAGAAACATTGATGGGAGAGAAACATCAATCAGCTGCCTCCTGCACACCCCCTACTGGGGATGTGCCCGCAACCAAGGTACATGCCCTTGATCGGAATTGAACCTAGGACCCTGCAGTCCGCAGGCCAACGCTCTATCCACTGAGCCAAACAGATCAGGGTGAAAAGCATATTCTTGAAATTTTATTTACAGTAGATTTAGTTGCATGTCCCTTATACCTGAAGAAGCAAAATTTTCTTATTTTTAAAATTTAGGGTAAATTTATAAAAATTACAGAGTTAAGCCCTAGCCATTTGGTTCAGTGGATAGAGCATCAGCCTGTGGACCAAAGGGTCCCAAGTTCGATTCCTGTCAAGGGCACTACCTTGGTTGCAGGCTCCTCCCTAGCCCCAGTCCTGGTTGGGATGCGTGCAGGAGGCAACCAGTTGATGCGTTTCTTTCACATTGATGTTTCTGTCTCTCCCTCTCCCTTCTACTCTCTCTAAAAGATCAATGGAAAAATATCCTCAGGTGAGGATTAACAACAAAAAAAGAAAAATTACAGAGTTAAGTGAATTGATGTACTAAAGACTGTTGAGCGTCAGCCTATAGACCATTATATAGTAGATATATAGTAGATTACTTGGAATATATTGATAGTACATTGTGCATACTGTATAACTAGAAATCCGGTTATGTGCATCTTCGGGAGATTGGAGATACTCAGGGTTCTCTTACTCTAAAAGGTGCTTTTATGAATCTTTCTATATCCAGCACTTGACATGCTTCCATCTCATGCTTCTGAATGAAAGGAGAAAAAGTTTAGGGAATTATTAAATGCTTGTAAAGTCTGTCTAGCAGAGGAATTATTAAATGGGAGTCACTCTTTGTTGGAAGATTTGCTTTAAGTACAAGTTTAAGGATAGGTCCCTCCTCTTCCTTATAGCATTATAGACTTTCAGTTTAACTTGGTATTTTGAATATTATATATTCTGTAATTGCATGTAGGGCCACTGATGTGGTCTGAGAGAAATTTATCCAAAGATGCCCTTAAGAATAAAGACCTAACCAAAGAGGCCACTTTCTAAAACAACCTAGTAAAAATAACTGTGTCACTGGTCATCTGATACCTCTTCCTGGTACTTTGTTTCCTTCAAGTATCTTACATACATACACACACACACACACACACACACACACATATACAGACACACATACACACACACACACACTGGAGCATGCAGGAAAGGTTTTTTTTGTTGTTTTCTTCTCTGTGCTCATACAGATTGTTTTTTGTTAAAAAAAATTTTTTCAATTACAGTTGACATTCAGTATTATATTAATTTGAGGTGTATAGCATCAGATTTTGGTTTCTAACTGAGAAATTTAGGCGAGTTTTATTTGGTATTCCTTTCCTTTTATACAAATACGGTCTGCTGAAAAAAATTACCAATTTTTCCATCAAGTCTGTAAATTTTTTATGGCAGGAAACTTGTCTCTAGTTCAGTAGTGTATCCTTATACTTAACATAATGGGAAGCACAGAAACACCTTTGTTGAATTAATAGATGACTGTATAATAAATCTAGTGTGTTGGATATTTTACATATTCTTAAGTGTTTTTTCTCCCATATTAGTGATGAGTGGAGATTCTGTACTCGACCTGCTTAGACCCCCTCTAAGAAGTCCACGATCTGGTAAGAAATGATTTGTCTGTTGGTTTAACATTTTTATAAATGCAGTTTATAAATGCATATGATTCAAAATTGAAAAGTTACTGTAAATATACAATGAAAAGCCATCTCCCCCTCTCCTTTACCCACCCATCTCATCAGAGGCAGCCAATTTTGTCAGTTTCTTAGGTATTCTTCCAGAGATATTTTATGGAGATATAAGGAAATTCATGTATAAATGATCTTTCCTCCCTTTAGCCCAATAAATATTTTTGCACCTCTATAATGTTTATTTTTATTTAACATATATTGTGACATATTTTTATATAACAATATAAAGGGCTTGCTTCTTCAGCCTTTTTAAGAGGTGTTTTTTACATGTTTCTTTTTGTTAGCACGATGATTTCAAACTAGGGTCAGGGACTTTTTATTCTTTCCAGTATAAGGCTAATAAAAAATTCAAGACAGGCTTTGTGGCTCAGGGCTATAAAATTTCCCTGCCTCCATTACATTTCTTTTTGACTAATACCTTAAAAGAGTGTTGCCTTAAGTTGATTTCATGGCTATGAAAGAAAACTAGTAAAGTCTACTTCTGCTTCATTTTCAGAGTTTTTTGGCCCATAAGGATGCTTTATTATGGGAAGTAAAAAGGAAGCTGCTTTATCTTTACATTAGTTTTCTATTCCTCAATTATATTCTGTAAGAAAAAGTTAGGTTAATTTTTTTTTATGACTATCAAGTATTACAATGATAAAGATCTGTTATGGTTTTGATGATGAACCTGTGGTAAAGAACCATATGATGCATTTCCTTTTAAGCTCTAATCTTTTTCTCTCTATCTCTCTTGCAGAGTCAGCATACAAAACAAATGGAAATACTGAAATGAGTGAATTAGGTGTGTTAATTTCTAATTTTTCTAGGTTCTTTTTGAGGATTCTGATTATCAGTAGAATACAGGAGTACACACTTTTGGTCACTGGCTTGAGAATATTACTTTGTTCATTATCTCACCATGTGGGGCACTGTCCCTATGACCAAGACCTTTCTTAACAGCCTTGATGGTGGTTCTATTTGAAATTATGTATTTTGTTATACTATTGTTAAAATTCGTGAAAGAACAAATACATTTTCATTTTAGTTAGCCTTTGTTAAAGTCACACTATTGAGAGAAAGGAGATAACAACTTACCAATTAAGGTTTTTTTCTTGACTTAGAAAGTGAATTTGAAATTTTTTTTAAAAAATATATTTTATTGATTTTTTACAGAGAGGAAGGGAGAGAGAGAGTTAGAAACATCGATGAGAGAGAAACATCGATCAGCTGCCTCCTGCACATCTCCCACTGGGAATGTGCCTGCAACCAAGGTACATGCCCTTGACCGGAATCGAACCTGGGACCTTTCAGTCCGCAGGCCGACGCTCTATCCACTGAGCCAAACCGGTTCCGGCTGAAATTTTTTTTTATAGTAAGTTTAGTGTCCTTCGCCATGTTTGTTGACCTAGTTTTAATTCTTTTCAGTGTTTTATTCATATAGGACATGAGACACCAAGATCTGTGGCTTTAAGTGAATCTACATTGATTGTGGTTAGACATAGTTTTAAGTTACAGTTCTTTTCTAAGTTTGGAGATGAGTCAAAAGGAGAGAGGCTTAATTTTTCTTTATAAATAGCTGCAGCTTTTAAAAAATTTGTCTTTCACTTAAGCTGAGGCTAATTTCTTTAGAGACTTCAGGATTTTTAGTGTCTGGGTACTGAAAATACACAGCAATTGTGGACTTTTACCCAGACACCAGTTTCTCAAGTGCTCTATTTAAAATGTTTTTATGTCAGGTTCTTTTTATTTTTTTAACCTTTTTATTTTTCTTTTAAAATTAGGGTTTTTTTTCTTTTATTGAATTTATTTGGGTGACAAAGTCAGACTCTTAATTGGAAGAGGACTTTGAGCTAAGATAATCCTGCACTTCTACTTTCTATGCTTGAATAAAAATTATTTTTATAAGTATTTTATAATAAAAATTAACTTTAAATCACGTGCTTTCCAGTTTGAAGGAAATTTCTGAGATTAATACAGAGAATGGAGTACTATATTCAAATGGCTATTCATGGAACTTGAATACTAGTAATAGCCTCAAGCTATTCCTTAATCTCTTCTTCCTGCTGCTCCACTCTGACTGTTCTCAAAAGCATGGTTGGCATCGAATAATTTTACAGGTGCTATTCTTAAAGGTATCTATACCAGAAAACTATAGCCTCTGAGTAAAATCTGACCTGCAGTCCTGTTTTTTGTACAGTTTGTGAGCTTAAAAAAATATTTATATTTTGTGAAATACCTATATTTCACATACATATCTATGAGAATATGTGTATTCATATATATGTGAACTGCAGAGAACTTACATGGCTCACAAAGCCTAAAATATTTGCCATTTGGCCCTATATGGAATAAGTTTGCTGACCCCTCGTTTATACCAATGGCAGGAATAAAGACAGCAAATCACTCAAATTGTCATTTGTTTGTTCTAAGAGTACATTCAAAGAGGTACATCCTTGCCTGGACAAGGATTTATTGTAACACTCCAAGCTAGGTTGTACTGACAGCACAAGAAGATAGGAAGGAGACACAATGACTCCTATCTGGTCTTTCCTTTGAGAAAGCATGATAATCTCATTTTATGAAATCTTCGTATCTTTGCCCCCAGACAAAAAACAAGGTAAGCAAAGCTTATATTTGCTTGAGTACCCTTCCCTCCTCGCACCAACACATTCCACAGATCTCTAGGAATAGGAACGTTTATACAGTAGTAGAAGTTACCAGGAACTTTGTATTTTCTTTTATTTTTTTTATTTATTTGTGGTGCCCATGACCGGAATCGAACCTGGGACCCTTGAGTCCACAGGCCAACGCTCTATCCTCTGAGCCAAACCAGTCAGGGCGTGTATTTTCTTTAAAAACTGCAATAAAAAACAAACAGCCTGGCCGGTTTGGCTCAGTGGATAGAGTGTCGGCCTGTGGACTGAAGGGTCCCAGATTCGATTCCAGTCAGGGGCACATGCCTGGGTTGTGGGCTCAATCCCCAGTGTGGTGGGGTGCAGGAGGCAGCCAATCAGTGATTCTCCCTCATCATTGATGTTTCTCTATCCCACTCCCTCTCTGAATTCAATAAAATATATTTTAAAAAAATAACAACAAACAAAAAACTGCGATCATACAAAAGAAAGTGAACAAAGTGTTACAATTAGTGGTCTCCATCAGAGAACATGGTTGTAAGTGATCTATTCTTGCAACAAAGACCTAGGATTTCTGAAAGTACCTTTTTGTAATTGGTTGAGGTTGTTGGAAAAGTTACAGCATAACAGCACATTTAATTATTGCCATGTGTCTATATATTTGTCAGAGCCACAGGTAACTTTTTAAAATTAAGGATATTATTGCTCCAAAAAGGATTTTAATTTATCAGAACTTCTGTATGAGCATAAAGAAGAAGAATACCATATATATCGATTCAATGTTTTTAAAATATGTTTTTATTGATTTTTACAGAGAGAGGAAGGGAGAAAGAGAGATAGAAACATCTATGAAAGAGAAATATTGATCAGCTGCCTCCTGCATGCCTCCTACTAGGGATCTAACCTGAAACCCAGGAATGTGCCTGACCAGGAATCAAACCAGTGACCTCTTGGTTCATGGGTTGATGTTCAACCACTGAGCCACACAAGCTAGATATATTTATTTAATGTTTTAAACTTATGCATGTAGCAGCCAAGAAGTTTAAAATACAGGAAGCTGAATAACAAAAGAGGGAAATGAAATTAAAACTTATGTAGTCATAGATGCTGCTGATTCATTATCAGATGGTATTTAAATATACAGTATACCTGTAAATATTTTGCAGCTTAGGTTAAAAAGATAAAGACAAGTGGAATGTTTAAAACCTTGTATAAAATCTGATTATTAAGCACTAATTTCAGGTGATTTTTCTTAAGTTGCCAAATAATGTTTTATTAAAGTATGAGAAATATTAGCAAAAGTCTTAACTTAAAAGCTTTTATTCTGTGATCCTAAAATCTATGCATTCATTAAATAAACATTTATTTTTAACCACTTCCTACATGTCGGTGACCAGCCCATATGCTAGAACCAGAAATACCAAACCCCAAAAATGTACATAAAAATTATTAAAAATTAATTAATGTAATCTAGCACATCAACAAACTAAAGAAAAGTTACATGATCATGTCAGTAGATGCAAGGAAAGCATTTGACATACTCCAACACCCATTCATATAAAAACTCTTAGTAAACTAGAAATAGAGGGGAACTTTCTCAACTTGATTAAAACTATCTACAAAAAGACCACCTTACAGCAGATGTACTTAGAGATGAGAAACTGAAAGCTTTAGTAACACCAGGTATAAGGCAAGGATGCCCTCACTCACCACTTCTTTTCAACATTGTGCTGTAAGTTCTAGCTAATGCAATAAGACATGAAAAGGAAATAAAAGGCATACAAGTTGAGAAGGAAGAAATAAAAATGTCTTTGTTCACAGGTGGCATGATCATCTATGTAGAAAATTCAAAAGAATGGACAAAAAATGCTGAAACTAATAAGCGATTATATAGTAGGGTTGTAGGATACAACATTAATATACAATCAATCACTTTTCCTATATACCAGCAATGAACAAGAGAAGTTTAAAATTACAAACACAATATAATTACTGTCAGCATCCCCCAAAATGAAATACTTATATAAATCTAATAAAATGTGTATAAGACTTAAGGAAAACTAAAAAAACCAATTAATGAAATCAAAGAACTACTAAATAAATGAAGGAGACAATTCCATTTTCATCGATAGAGGAAGACTCAATATTGTCAAGATGCCACTTCTTCCCAGTGAATCTATAGACTCAATGCAATTCCAATCAATATCTCAGAAGTTATTTTGTGGGTATTGACAATCTCATTCTATTAAATTCTAATGTCTGCAAATACAGGTTACATTTTAGAGTACAAATAGACCTGTGGGTAAAGGAAAAATAAACTTTCTGATTTTAGTTTATATCAAACTTATTCCTGAAATAGAGTAGAGGGAAATAATAGACTCTTCTTGGATTTAACAAAAAAATAGTTCATTTTATCTTTATGGTCCCTTTTCTTAATTTAGATGTTTTTATTCCTAAGCTTTAGCTTTTAATGTTATAAACATGTATGCTTTTCTCTTCTAGAAGCCACTAGTGTCCCACAGAAGGTCAATTTCTCTGAAGAAGGTATTTTCTTTTAAAATATCATACAGTATATTCTTAATCTTTTTTTGTTACCATTACTAGGATTTTGATAGATACTTAAGAGTGAGAGCAGAAAATAGTGTCTTTTTCTCCAGGGGAAAAAAAAAATCATGTTTATCTTAACTGTCAAATAAGCAGGTAAAATAGTATAGAATGAGTGTTGATAGCCTTTGTACATTTCAAGCATCTTTTGTCTGAGTTAATAATTTTAAGCAAAGCTAGTATTTTCAGTTTCTGACATGCTGGCATTTGATTATGTTATTAAAACAGTTTTTCAAATTCTCATAACCAGTCTATGTTTGAATAGTGCAGTACCATTTAGTTCATTTTAAAGCCCACCATACTCTGAAATTAGTCACCTCCATATTGAAATGTTTGTGTGTGGACATGTATATGCATGTATATGCATGTATATATAGACATGCATGCGTGCATATACTAATCTTGTCTGAATTTACACACTAATAAGTTGAAGTTAATAAGGTAAAATTTTTCCACTATTTAATGCTCCCTTTTTTTTCTTTTTTTTTTTTTCAAGCTTCGGAATATAATCTTAGTAAACATTACTCTCAATATTTGTCGGAATATAATTATATGCCTCAGAGAACGTAAAATAAATGAGCTCAATTTTAGCTTATTTAAAACATTGTGACTCAGAATAAGTAAACATAATAAAGAACAATTTTGTATCTGATCATCAAAAAGATTTTACTTTAATGTTGAATGCTTGTTTTTGTTTTTTAATCCAGATATTTAGAGCATTTGAGTAGAGACTATATAGTATATCCTTTCTTTCTTTTTAGGGGACACTGAAGAAGATGATCAGGACGTCTCTGATAGTGCTGTTACTTCTGTTAAGGTCAGATCCGGGGAGTCTCTGGACTCTGGAGGTAATATTGCTTTATACACATATGGCACCTAACTTAGGAGCTGTATTTTTAGTTAAAATATAAAGGTATCCTGTGAATTTGCTTTTTTAAAAAATACTATAAGTTATCTTTAACAACTTTTAAAGTTGTGTATTTTTTCATATTTATTAAAATTACTGATTCCATGTATACATCTGGTTAGAAATAGAATGTCATGTAATACTTAAACAATTAAATCACATTTTAGCCTGATTTGATATTTATGGATTACAATATTTTTATGCTCATAAGAAGAATTATTTGTAGTTTTTTAAAAAATTTGATAGGGAAACTGATCACATTGGCATTATATTCACTACACTACCAGGAGTTTTAACTTTTCAGAAGTTTTAATGTACTTAGATAACTACTTTTATCTCTGGGTTGTTCAAATTCACACTAAGTTAGCAATAAGTTAAAGTGGAAGATTTTTATCTTATTAACATAAGCTTATTTCTGAATATTCACATAAACTTGTGTTTAAGTTTTTCAAGGAAAGAATCTACTGAAGAGAAAAAGTGAATTTGTGGCTTAACAGGGCACTGATCAAATATGTAAACTCTGTAAATAAAGAGTAATTTTATATATTTTAGTCCCATGGAAGATTGTCTCCACTTTCCCCTCACCACCTTTGAGAATTTCTGTAATTTCTAAGTTTTACTTAATAGTTTTACTTTAAAAATAAGCTCATAAGCTGGTCTGTGGGCATTTGGTATTCTACATATTTCCCATCCTTCCTCATTTTAACCCGTTCTTTCTTGATACAGAAATCCCAAAGGAGCTATGCAACACTCTAGGATAGTGGTTAAGAACATGGGCTCTGGAGCCAGAATCCCTGGGTTTCACTCCTCCACTACTAGGTTTGTGCCCTTAGGCAATTGCTTAACTTCTTGGTTGTTGTGAAGTTAAATTAATTCATATGTGCAAAGCACTTAGAAAGTACCTGGCACATAGTAAATACTTAAATTAAGTGCTGTCACTAGTTTTCATATGTATACATAAAGATATAAAAATTGGAGACTAATTAAGCATTCATATAGCCAATAGTTTAATGCTATTGCTACCAAGATATATAGATCTTTGAAACTACTACATAAACCCCAGGCTTTGTGGTCCCTTGAGAATTCTAATATATTCTTATTGAAGCACACATACCCATATGCAGAAGAAAAGTAGCTAAAGAACAAAGACATGAGACATATTAAGAAGAACACTGATCTTCCTAGATTATCTCGGGCTAGTTTTCAGCGAACAGGTACAAGAAGATCCATTGGAATGCAGGAAGAAAATATTAGCATTTCATGCATATATTTTTCTATTTCACCCATTTAAAGTGTCTTCTTTTATAATATACACATTTGTTAATATATTATTTTAGTAATGTATGTGTTGGTATATAATGTTAGGAAGAAATAGGTTTTGGAGATTGAAGCTCAAAATTTTTTTAATAATAGGGATACACTACTAAAAATATTTAGCCATACTCTAGCTGGTTTGGCTCGGTGGCTAGAGCGGGGGACTGAAAGGTCCCAGGTTCAATTCCGGTCAAGGGCACATGCCCGGGTGATGGGCTCGATCCCCAGTGGGGGGCATGCAGGAGGCAGCCGATCAATGATTCTCTCTCATCATTGATCTTTCTATCTCCCTCTCCCTCTCCAGTCCTCTTTAAAATCAATAAAAATATGTTTTTTTAAAAAAAGATGTTTCTATCTCTCTCCCTCTCCCTTCCTCTCTGAAATCAATTTTTAAAAATCAATGGAAAAATATCCTCGGGTAAGGATTAAAAATACACACACACACACACACACACACACATACTAGAGGCCCAGTGCATGGATGCATGCACCGGTGGGGTACTTTGGCCTGGCCTGCAGGGCTTGGGCAAAACCAGCTCTCCAATATCACCTGAGGGGTCCCAGATTGTGAGAGGGTGGTTCTTGGGTGATGCACCCCAGAATCCGGCTCCCTCCTCTCTGGTTCTGGGTGCGTCACCTGAGAACTGCAGTTGCCAAGTCACCACAGCTTGGCAACTCCTGCATTGAGCATCTGCCCCCTGGTGGTCGGTGCATGTCATAGCTATCAGTTGGCCAGGTGCTCAGGCTTTTATATATATATAGATAGATATTTAGCCACCATACCTGAGTGTGTCAAATGCTTCTGTTGCCAAAGTAACAATCAGATTGCTTTTAAATAGATTTAGCTCTAAATTCCACTTAAATATGACAATGTTTTTAAGAACATATTAGAATAATATATTGACCACGTCCAAGAGAAATTTAAGAAAAAAATTGACATTAATGATTTCAAGAAGATCCATTATTACAAACTTTCAAAATTTCCCCTTACCTTACACCATGTTCTATGTCCTTTTTTTTAAAGGGGTTAGGGAGCCCTAGCCAGTTTGGCTCATTGGATAGAGCATTGGCCCTTGGTCTGAAGGACCACAGGTATAATTCCAGTCAAGGGCATGTACCTTGGTTGCAGGCTCTATCTGAATGCAGGAGGCAACCAATAGATGTGTCTCTCACATCAATGTTTCTCTCTCTCTCTCTCCCCGCCCCTTCCACACTCTCTAAAAATCGGTGGAAAAATATCCTCGGGTAAGGATTAACAAAAAATAAAGTAAAAAAAGAAAAAGCAGTTAGGGGAAAGACTGATAATTAATTAGTTAATGTTTTAGATACAACTTGACTCTTTAGAAACTTGTAAAATTATGCACTCAGGTGTTCCCTGGGGTTTATCTGAGTATTTTTGCTCTTTTGAGTACACCTTTTTCTCTTGTAAAATGTGCACTTAAAAAGTTAAATATAGCCCTAACTGGTTTGCCGCAGTGGAGAGCGTCGGCCTGCGGACTGAAGGGTCCCAGGTTCGATTCCAGTCAAGGGCATGTACCTTGGTTGCGGGCACATCCCCAGGAGGGGGTGTGTAGGAGGCCACTGATCGATGTTTCTAACTCTCTATCCCTCTCTCTTCCTTTCTGTAAAAAATCAATAAAAAATATATTTTTTTAAAAAGTTAAATATACTCTATATTGTACTATATCTCTTCTTTATTTTTTAGATCAAACCAGCAGACCAGGTCAACATTTAGAATCATTTTGGCAGTCATCACAAAGTAAGGAAAGCCACGTTTTACACTCTTAAAAGTCTACCTGTGGGTGTGGTCAATGCTGCTCTCGTTTTTAAAGATACTCTGTGGCAAGTTTCATGTAAAATGTTGAAAAGGGGTATGGTGAATGCTTTAAAAACCTCATCGTGCATCTTGAGTTTGCTTCTTGAGTGAGCCATCTCTGTATTCAACCTTGAATTAGAATTAAAAAACGCAGAACTGCTTTCAGTGATTTGTTGAATATTTTTGGTTGCAATGTAAATTTGTTGAAAGGTTTTAATTAACTACTGTAATAGTTTGAGCCTACTTATATAGACATATTTTAATAAGGATATAAAATTTTATATGCAGTATAATTTTAACTGTTGCAAAGGTTTGGAATGATGAATAAATTAGTGATAAATGAGTTGTAGTAAAAACTTAGTGGTAGTTAGGTGGTGGGGTTATAAAAGTTTTACAGCCTTGCTTACAACTTTGAAAATTTTCATAGTAAAGTGTTGAGAAAATATAACTCAAGAAAAGATCGGAAAGTAATGTGCTAAAAGCTAACAGTGATTTGTTTAGAGTGGTAGAATCATTAGTGACATTTTTCTTTCACTTTTTTTCATTATTTTACAGATTATCAACAATGAATATGTATTTCTTAGGTTAAATGGAAATGATATTGTTTTTTCTTTTCACAGTTTTAAATCAAGCCCCAGAATTTGAGTTATTAATAGATAAAATATATATATATATATATATATATATATATATATATATATATATATCCTTGTATACTGCCCTGGCTGGTGTGGTTCAGTTGGTTGAGCATTATCCTGTGCACCAGTATTTTTGATCAGTGTACATGCCCAGGTTTTGCGCTCCATCCCCAGTAGAGGGTGTGCAGGAAGCAGCCGATCAATGATTCTCTCTCATCATTGATGTTTCTCTCTCTCCCTCTTCCTTCTTTTCTCTGAAATCAGTAAAAACATTAATTAATAAGCAAGACATGAAAATAGTCAAGTTTCCATTAAATAAATGAAAAAAAATTTTTTAAGTTTTACTTTCCATCTCATTTGAAGGCAAATTATCATTTGAATACTTTCAAGTTTATTAAAGTATTATAAATGTTTAACTTTCATCAGCTTCAAGGTTTATGTTGCTCCCAAATTTTGGATATAACAACTTTCAAATCTGCTAACACCCATTGAGTTGATTCCACTCTGGATTCTAAGGTGTCAGTTTCTCCTTGCAAATTTTTCTTGTGTTTCTTCTTGAGAATGGCTAATGAAAGCATCAATTTGATAAGGTATCATTAAGCAGTTGTCATCTGCAAGCATGATGCCCTCGCAAGCATCATCTAAATTTTGGAGTTATTTTTTACATCTATTTCTTCCTTCAGCTCTGTGATTCTACTTATATTCAGTTCAACTTTGTTTATCTTTTGTTGATCTTCAAAAGAGGCATTGACATGAAATGCCACTTTATATGTATTTTTAGTTTTTAGTAGGTTCTAGGTTTGTGACTTAAAAACTAAGAGGTAACAAAATGAATAAGCTGTTGAAACAAAAACCATTTGTGGAAAGATACTCTGCATCATCTTATATATTTGCCCTTTTTTACTCAAAATCCTTGATTTTGGAAGCTCTTAAATGTATCTTTCTATATAATTATGCTACACTCATGCATTAGAATACCATTTAGCTATGAATAATGAGTTAATGCTTTATACAAATGAATATAGGTGATCAAGATATATTTTCTTGAATCTAAGATACCATCGATTTTATGTATCACTGAGAAAGAAAAGCCATCCAGTTAAACTACAACATACCATTGGTTATAAGATACAGCCCTAAATCTGAGGTGTTTCTATTAAAAGTACTTTTTAGAGTCGATGAAAAGAAATATTAAAAAAATCATGTGTCTGCTTTTTAAAAAAGTACTATATTTTGTTAGTATAGACTAAAGACAAATCTGGAAGAACATCAGTCTTATACACTATGACATTCCTACATGTAATATTTTGTACATAGTAGGCACTTACTAGATTTTTTAAAAAATATATTTTATTGATTTTTTACACAGAGGAAGGGAGAGGAATAGAGAGTTAGAAACATCGATGAGAGAGAAACATCGATCAGCTGCCTCCTGCACACTCCCTACTGGGTATGTGCCCGCAACCAAGGTACATGCCCTTGACTGGAATCGAACCTGGGACCCTTGAGTCTGCAGGCCGATGCTCTATCCACCAAGCCAAACCGGTCAGGGCAACACTTACTAGATATTTATTAATTTTTAAGTTATACCTTTCTAGAAAGGTGCATTTCTTTTACAGCTAGCATATATTGAACTTGTTTTCAGAAAAAAATTAAGTTGAAAATAAATTTACATTGATACTTGTATCAATGGGTGGAAGTAACTCATTTCTTCTGGGCAGATTTGGAGATTTTTCTTGTTAGCATTGTAATATCATTTTCAAGTTCCATTGTATCAGTTTATAGGTGCCCTTAAGTACCAGTGCAAAACATGCAGCAGCATCCTTTATTTCATTCCTACTCTGCAATGTCCACAAATTTGCTTATATAATACATAACATTATGTGGACTGCCAGGGTTTATATCTCAGCCCTACTACTTTGAGATATATAATTGGGCAAGTTATCAATTTAAGTTTTCTTATTTGTAAAATAGGAATAATAATAGTATTCACCACACAAAATGTGAGAATTAAGTAAAATTGCACTGACACCTGGTAAACATTCAAGACAGTTCATCATTATTTTGATGGTATTGATCCTAAAGCTGACTACTATTTATCCAATTCCTGAACATTTTGAAGTTTAAAAAAGGGAAAACAGTTACTGTATATGTTTGGGACTGATGAAAGGTTTTTGTTTTTGTTTCTTTGATTTATAGTATTTATAATAAACAAGCAAAATATTTATGCAATATTTTTCTTGTTCTTATTTCCAAGGATTCTATGACTTTATCTCTATTTCTGTTTCAGGTCAAGACTTCAAAGCTCTTGATAAGCAGCATTCAGTGCCAAGTAAGTGGTTGGTGATTCTTGATTAGTCAACCAATTCTAACCTGTCATTACTCTGCCAACAAAAAGTGCTACCTCTGTAGGATTTTTTAAGTCATTTTATCCTCTTTGCCTTTTAATTCACCACACATTGGTACTATATGTGGTAGTTACTCTGTGATGTGGAAATGTGTTCGGGACAATTTTACTGGAAGTAATTTATTTGCAAGAGTTAACTTTCTCTTCTTAATTAACATTGAAATCAAGTTGAAGGGCTTGTACAGAGTTTTGTTTCTTAGGTGATTATACAGGGATGGGCAAAAGTAGGTTTACAGTTGTGATTTCGTGAGTTTATTCTTATATTATTACTTAGTTAGTTATTGTATTATTCACTGTTTTATTAGTAACAGTTTATTATACAGTTTTTTAATTATACAGTTTTGCCCTTCCTGTATATTTATTTGCTACATGTTTTGCCGGGAAGTGGTTCATCCTCACTGATGTGGTCCTTTGACATTGTCTAACACGGGAGTATGGTATACGTTTTCAAAGTATATGAAGTCATATTTTGATATATGTATTTGCTACAGGCTCAAAATATCAAAAAAACCTTCAAAATATCAAAATATCAGAACATCAAAAAAACCTTCAGGAAAGGGTTGACCAAACCACAAGAAGAAGGACGAAGATGCCAAGTAAGTTAATAAATCTCTACCTATCATTGAAATAATTTTACTTGCTGTTTTTCTTGATTATTTAACATACAAAAATATTTAACTTTTCAGATAAGCATTTAAGGTGTTTGTGATGTCATTAATAAGGACATACCATAAATAGATGTGATGAAGCAATCATGTTTTGAATTCAGTGTCCATCTTAATTTCTGTAGCCATGTGTTTATGTTAAACCTTGACCTTATAAAATAAAAGTCCATGCCTTATGTGACCCTTAAACTCGCTCCCTTCTTTACTCACCTAATCACAGTAGGTCACAAGGTCATCACCCCTTATTATTATGTAGATAACATAAAAATCCCCATCATGTATTCTTGCTCATGAAGTGATTAACTATAATTGGACAAGATAAGCTCTGTGGCTTTGTTTCCCATTAGCAAAACAGTAATGGCTCACAATTCATTTTTCCCAGAAATGAAGTTTTTACCCCACATATAAGTGAGTTCTTCAGCTATCAAAACTGGGTTACCTTTTTTTTCCTTCAAGATCTAATTGACTTTATTAAGCAATTCATGAATGAGGTAGCATCCCTTCTCGCAACTAGAAGGATGCTCTCTGGGTTATTGCCTTCTTGTTGGCAGTCATTTCTTATTGCTATGTGTACCTGCTACTAGAAGATCATTCCTTCTTACATTTTGCTCGTCCTGTCCTACTAGAGTTAGGAAAAGTTATTAATTATTCAGCTTATTAGGATTTGTTTATAGCCACTATAAAATTAAAACTTATTTTGAAGATCTGAGAGATACTCTTGGAAATAAAACTGAGTTTGAATATATATTCTATGAAAGTTCAGAGACTTTACATGTTATTTCTTAGTTTTTAACTATATACAGGGTGTCCCCAAAAATGTCTATACAATTAAACAGCTGATAGCTCAATTTTGAAAATGAGATGTATTTTAATAAATACTGCCTTTATAATTATTTGAAGTGTGTGTATACATTTTTGGGGACATCCCATATTCTGGGTAATTAATATCAGATTACTTCCAGATAAGTGAAGTATAGTGCACACTATTACCAAAAATGTGTATGAAAAAGGCCAGGGGGCAGGGGTGGACTAGAAGGGGTCAGTGGGGGAAATAGAGGGACATATGTAATACTTTCAACAGTAAAGGTTTAAAGACAAATAAAATAAGATTAGGAGACTTTATGTAATAAACTGGACATGTTCCTCAAAAAAAAAAAAAGTTTGTATAATTTTCACTTCCTCCAATAAGACACTACAAATGCAGTGTAGAAGGTAAAATAATTACATTGAAGATCTAATTGGAATGTAGAAATACATCTTTTAGTTGCTAAATTGCTAGCTGATTTTTGTATTTTACCTGTTTGTATTCCTACTTTGTCTCAAGTTAGTTCATTATGCTTTTTAGTTTGATGTAATCTCATGTTTTGTTTCTGCTTTTGTCGCCATATCCAAGAAGTCATTGCCAGGGCCAGTATCAAGAAGCTCTTTCTCTGTGTTTCTTCTGGGAGCTTCATGGTTTTAGTTGTTAGGTTTAAGTTTTTCATCCATTTTGAGTTGATTTTTGTGTATACTATATGATAAGGGTCTAGTTTCATTCTTTTGCATGTGGATATCCATTTTCCCAAACATCATATATTAAGAAGACTGAGCTCTGTCACACTTGTCTAAGATCAGTTGGCCATATCTGCGTGTGTTTATTTCTAGACTCTATTCTCTTCCATTGGTCTATGTATCTGTTTTTATGCCAGACCATGCTGTTTTGATTATTTTAGCTTTGTCATGAATTTTGAAATCAGAAAATGTGACACCTCCAGCTTTATTGTTTTTACTCAAGCTTGCTCTGGCTATTTGGAGTTTTGGTGATACCATATGAATTTTAGAATTGTTTTTATTTCTGTAAAAAATGCCATTGGAATTTTTATAGGGCTTGAACTGAATCTGTAGATTACTTTAGGCAATATGGACATTTTAAGAATTTAATTATTCAATTTATGAACATGGTATGTCTTTCCATTTACTTGTGTCTGCTTTAAATTCCTTTCATCAGTGTTTTATAGTTTTCAGTATACAAGTCTTTCACTTCCTTAGTTAAGTTTAGTTCTATTTTATTTTTTCTGGTACCATCCTATATAATGAGAGGAATATGCTAATTAGCAATTACACCCTTAGGTGTAACGACCAAGCACATCACGACCAGATCATGGATCAGCAGGAGGGTGGGCCAGAGAGGTACAAGCAGGCTGCTGAGAGCTACAGGAGGGGGCAGGGCAGCAAGCTATGAGGGGGAAAGAGGGAAGGGGGGCGGGGGAAGGTCCAAGAGGGCGGGGCAGTGGGCGGAGAGCTACAGGAGGGCGGGGCAGCGGGCAGAGGGCGGGGCAACAAGCAAGCAGGAGGTGGAGACTTAAGGAGAGGGCAGGGCAACAAGCCATGGGGGGTGGTGGGGAAGCTCCAGGAGGGCGGCAGCGACCTACTGGCGCATGGATTCATGTGCAGGGCTACTAGTTGTAAATAAGATTATTTTCTAGATTTTGTTGGTGTTAGTTTTGTTTTCTTAATTTACTTTTTATGAGTTATATTAATATTACATGTTACATAACTATTATTTAGCTACTTGTCTTTAATATCATCGTAGTATAGCACTTCACAGCATTTTTATATACTATTATCTCATTTGATCTTTGCAGCTAAGGAGTGAGGTATTCAAGCTAACATAATCTATTGAATATTTTTATGCATTTGTTTATTTGGTAACCTAATTTAGCAGCTTCTAAAAGATGTAGTGTCCTGGGCTGAAGTAGGAATTGTAAAACAATGTGTCTTTAGAGTTAAGGTTGATGTCATTTGCTTCATTTGAGGGTTTTTGTCATATGACCAAAAATAAGGTTATTTCTGGACCTTGGCAGTGCTAATTTTATTCCTCCAGTTTAGTTTGGTGTTTCTCAAATGAAAGCTGTTGATAAACACCTGAAAGATTACACACACACACACACACACACACACACAGTTGTGACTCCAGACAGCCGATAAATGTTAGTATTGGTAAACGTAGATCATGTGTATGAGTAATTTAGCTTCTCCACCTTCTGAACCCCTGTCCTCCTGTAACCTCTCTTAGAAGTTAAAATCTGTGGCCAAGCCAAGACAGATGGAGGGAAAGAGAAAAGAGTTAGGGTAGTTTTTAATTTGTTTTCTGAAGTAATGATAGAAGTAGAGATTTGATGAAGTTGTGAGAAAATTACCTTTGAAATCTATTGTTTAACCACAAACATAAAACAGATTTACTTGCCTATTAACAAAATGGTGAAAAGTTTGTTTAGCGTAATTTTTTATTTTATTGAAAACTTTAAAATTTCTATTACAGTTGACATTTGATATTATGCTAGTTTCAGGTGTACAGCATAGTGGTTAGTTGTTTATATAACTTATGAAGGATCCCTCATAAGGCTAGTACCCACCTGGCACCATATGTTGTTATTACAATATTATTGACTCTATTTCCTATGTTGTTTGTACTTTAAATCCCCATTGCTATTTGTCACTGCCAATTTGTACTTCTTAATCCCTTCACCTTTTTCACCCAGCCCCTCTAAAAATTACTGGTACTATTTGAAGTGGTCAGAAGCACCAGAGGAAATCTTTGAGTCAGTTTGAGGTAGAAAATGGTGTTAAGATGGAGCTTTACATTAAAACACCTTATCCAGATAGCCCAGTGTCCATAATCAGGATTTTGTTCTTGATTTTCCTCTTTACAGCATCAGCACCAGACAAATGTTTCAATATATGTCAGGTCTTCAGATAGTATATGTTTCCTTTCATTATAGTTTGCTTATTTGAACCTCCTAACTTTGTCCCAGAAGTTTCACAGCTCCCGTTAAATAATTTGGATCAGATGCTTGAAGGCTTTCTCACAGAGCAAATGTATTAAGAGTACACTTTGTACTAGACATGCCGTCAATAATTGTGAGGGAAATAGGTCCCTGTCTCAAGGAGCTGTCATTCTAATGGGCACTTCTGCTTTTTTCTTCTGTTTCTGGCTGAGCTCCACCTTTTTTTTCTCTTGGTGGAATTTTTATTTTCTTTCTCTGTTGGAAATACTTAAGTTATGAAACATAAATTGATAGTCTTTATTACTCCTATCATTAGATGACAGCTTTCAGAAATCAGAGTTTGGAAACCAGTCTCCGTCAACCTTCAGCCAACGTAAGTCTGTTCAGTTTTTATTGAGTCTCTAAAACTGGTGATCCATAATTGTCTTTAATTGTGTTTGACAGCAAAATAACTTAATGCTATTTGAAGAATTATATTTTAAGCACTTCAGAGGGAAAAGTATATTTTACTAGCGGTGAAATTCTTTAAGGGTAAATGATAAGAAACGACAATTGGTTTCCCCCTTCACTTTATTGTCCATCCAACCAAAAGTAAAAGTTAATAAATTAAAGCTACTAATACTATTAACCAAGTGAACCTTGCTGAGTCAAAAAAAAAAAAGACCTCACATAGCATAACATAACAGGATTATCGTGGGTTTGAGAGTCCACAGGCCTGTATTTGAATTAGATTGGATCACTTACCTTCTCTGTAGTGTTGGGGGCAAATTTAGTTTCCTAATGAGTACTAAGAAAATAACTGATTTGCAGACTTTTTGGTCTCAATATCACTTTCTACTAGTGAAATTAATAAGTACCCCCAAAACTCTATTTTAAAAACATATGGGTTATACATATCCATATTTAACTAGAAAATAAAGTTGAAATTCTTTTCTGGCATTTTATTTTTGAATAATAAGAAGAGTGATAACTTGCTTTATATTTTTTCCAATCTCTTTAATGCCTGGCTTAACAAAATAGAGCTTACCTACTTTTTACTTCTGCCTTCAGTCTGTTGCAGTATATTGATTTGGTTGAAGTATCTGCAGAAAATCCAGCTTTATACAGATACGTAGAATTTTAATAGTTTCTGATAATTGTGGATATTTTAATTTTGATACTCTCCAAAACTCAACAAATGGTAGTTTCTAACTGCTGTTTGAAATGTGAAATCTGAGACCACATTAACAAACTTTTTGTATTCTATAAAACCTATTGGTCTTTGTTGTACTTTGAATAGACTATCATGCGCTGGTCATTTGGAAAATATTGATTCACTAAGTTATGAAATTTTTCCAAATGTTGAGACATTTGTAATACAATATCAAAAGAGTACATTTGTTAATATCACCACCGACAAAAAAGTCTTTTAGAATTGGGAGCTTTTGAGCTGATAGTGGTAGATACAATATTTCCACAATCGTAATTTTCACTTGAAACCTTAAATTTTATAATTGGCAACAAATACTGTCGGTTGGGCTCACTTTGTTCATTTTCAAGAAAATGTCTATCAAATATGGAAATCCGACTAACCATAGTTTGTCACTTGTTCTTTCAATTAAAAATTTCATGAAAAAAAGCACTAGGTCAGCTCACACCTCAGTTGCACAAGTTCTTTTCCTGAAACAGCCATTGTATTGGGCTATGCATCAGAGTGCTTTATGTAACTGAACCTGTATAGTTTTATTAACCAATGTTATCCCAATAAATTCCGTTTTAATAAAAAGAAGTGCTTTATTTTTTTAAATACATTTTATTGATTTTTCACAGAGAGGAAGGGAGAGGGAGAGAGAGTTAGAAACATCGATGAGAGAGAAACATCAATCAGCCGCCTCCTGCACACCCCCACTGGGGATGTGCCCACAACCCAGGTACATGCCCTTGACCAGAATCGAACCGGGGACCCTTCAGTCCGCAGGCCGACGCTCTACCCACTGAGCCAAACCGGTTAGGGCAAAGTGCTTTAAGAGTGCTTCCAATTTCTTCACATAGAATATTAAAATTTGTGCTCAAATGATTTCTTATTAACCTCAAGTTATAGTAAGACACATAATTTTAACTGCTTTATGAAGGACATTCTTAAGTAAAACTGAATGTATGCCCATGAAGAATACAGAAACTATAATTGTACAGTTTGGTGCCACTGCCTTGTGATTCATTCTAAGGCATCATTTGTTTTTTGTACCATCAATGAAAGTGTCAATATGATGGGAAAGGTTAATAATGTCTTAGTATTATGAGACCTATGACAACTATTGCTCTAAAACAGCGGTTCTCAACCTGTGGGTCGCGACCCCTTTGGGGGTCGAATGACCCTTTCACAGGGGTCGCCTAAATGCATCCTGCATATCAGATATTTACATTATGATTCATAACAGTAGCAAAATTACAGTTATGAAGTAGCAACGAAAATAACTTTATGGTTGGGGGTCACCACAACATGAGGAACTGTATTAAAAGGTCGCTGCATTAGGAAGGTTGAGAACCACTGCTCTAAAAGGTTCATAGTGAATTATTACCCTAAAGCAGTCAGTCAATAATTAGAAGGTATAGAAGTATTTTCATTGCCATTATATTAAACAATTAAGTGTGTGACATATGAGAGAGTGCTTTATAAACTGAAAAGCAATAGGTAAGTAACTTGACGTCATGATAGCCAATAATAATTAGGGATGAGTTGCAAACTAAATTTTACCAGTGTTAACTTGCATCAGTGCAACTAAAGGGACAGCTAGCTATATTATATGCAAGGTGTTCACTTAGAGTGCATCCTTTTCTTTATCTTTTTATACACTTCAAAAACTTTAAAAATTCTGTCTTGATTAGCCATCTGAACTCTGGGTTTCTAAATTTAAAAATGCTTTATAAAATATCTTTTAATATTGCTTACTTCCCCAGTATTAGCAGTAGTAATAATAGTTTTGCTTTATAAATTATACTAGAGGCCTGGTGCATGGGATTCGTGCACTGGTGGGGGGCGTGGCCTGCAGGGATCAACCCACTGTGGGAGCGCCACTCATCCCAGTAAGCCGAGCAGCTGTGGACCTGCCCTCTGAGCATCTGTTCCCACTGTGGGAGCGCACTGACCACCAGGGGGCAGATCCTGCATTGAGCGTCTGACCCCTGGTGGTCAGTGCTCATCATAGCGACTGGTCAAGTGGTTGTTCTGGTCATTCCACCGTTTGGGCACTGGGCTTTTATTATATAGAATTATTTCTGACCTGTTTATGCCATTTCATACATTTAAATTTTACTTTTTCCTCTGAGTTTTTATCATTTTGGTATTAAAGAGATATAAGTATGCTTATACACATAACTTAAAACCTATCGGTGTGAGATTTTCTTAAAAATGTGTAATAAATTATTAAGAAAGTAAATTATAAGCTCCCTTTTTTAAATTCCTTCCTCTTTTGTCTGTTTATAAAGATTAGTATTGGTTTTCCTGGCCAGTGTGGCTCACTGGTTGAGCATCGACCTATGAACCAGGAGGTTGGGGTTTGATTCCTGGTCAGGACACATGCCTGGGTTGCAGGCTCAGTACTCGGTAGGGGGCATGCATGAGACAGCTGATCAATGTTGATAGCTCTCTCTCATAGATGTTTCTATCTCTCCCATCCTCTCTAAAAATTCATTAAAAACATTTTTTAAAAGATTAATATTGGTTTTACAAGTCAACTTGCCCTTGACTCGAAGAAATTTATATTTGTATCTGTCTTTTTTTTTTCCTGAGCAGACATGACTGGACAACCCAAAAATGCATCTTTTGTCAAGATGAAGTGGTGGTGGTTGCCAATACCTGTGCTCCTTATTCTTGTCCTTGGGAGTTGGTGGTACACTCATGTTCCTGAGGTAGAAGGCACTGCTGTGAAGAGTTCCAGAACCAGATGAAACAACTTATGATTAAGTACCAAGGTCAAGATGAGAAGCTGTGGAAAAGGAGCCTAACATTCCTGGAAAAACATCTCAACAGCTCCCAGCCTCGTCCTCAGCCTGCTATCCTGCTGCTGACCGCTGCCCGTGATGCTGAAGAAGCACTCAAGTGTCTGAGTGAACAAATCGCTGATGCCTATTCATCCCACCGAAGTGTCCGTGCCATCCGGATTGATGGAACAGGCAGAGCTACTGAGGACAGTGATGCTGTGAAACTAGAGGTGGACCAAGAACTGAGCAATGGATTCCAAAATGGCCAGAACGCAGCCGTGGTGCACCGCTTCGAGTCCCTGCCCGCCGGCTCCACTTTGATCTTCTACAAGTATTGTGACCATGAAAATGCGGCCTTCAAAGATGTAGCCTTAGTCCTGACCGTCTTGTTGGAGGAGGAAACACTTGGAACCAGTCTAGGCCTAAAGGAAATTGAAGAAAAAGTGAGGGATTTTCTCAAAGTCAAGTTCACCAACTCTAACACACCCACTTCCTACAAACATATGGACCCAGACAAACTGAGTGGGCTCTGGAGCCGCATTTCCCACCTCGTCCTGCCTGTGCAACCCGAGAATGCCCTGAAAAGGGGCATCTGCTTATAAGCGGCGACAGAAGAGAAATCATGTCCCAAGTGCTGAGAATTTTTTGGACTTTGTAACCAGAGACAGAAAGCATCTTTGTGAAAGAACTGTTTTCTTTCTGAAGGAAGTAAAGTTCTAAATCATTTCTCCGACCTATTACCTGTTGTTTGAGAGAAACATTTCCCTATTTCCATTAAGATTTGTGTTACTGGTATCAGAGAACTGTAAGTTACATGCAGTCCCATAGAGGATCAATTTAGATGCTGGCTGAATCATTATTACTATGGGATGACCAGTAGGATGGACTAGAAAATCCTTCCTACGAAGCCTCCTGATTTTTAACGTAGACTTTTCCGTTTGTTTTTAGCAACTGTGGGTTTTCCCATTTTGTTTTCTTTTAAGTGTGAGTTCCCTAGCTTCTGCTTATAGGAACAAAAGTAACGCGAAAGGTCATCTGAGTGTGTGTTTGGGTTGTTATTTTTTCCTTTGATTCTGGAGGCAAGGGAACAGAGAGAATTTGTGGAATGGGGAAGGGAAGGAGGGGAAAAAATAACTCTTAAAGGTAAAATGTTAAGTAAGCCACAGAGACTCAGTCCAACGTAGTTATCTAAACTCCATTCTCAATGCATTTTGTTGGGATTTGTTTTTCACATGTCCTTTTTTTACTTTTAAGAAATTTTTGGTCCACTCAACGATTGTGAAGCATGATATCACGAGGTTAAGTATACTTGTTCATTTGACTTTTAAGGGCAGGTAAATCCAGAGCGGTTTATTTTGGATATATCCTTAAGCTTTGTTTTGAATTAAGAAATGTAGTTTCTGGGCAAGGGAGGGACTTGGTAGACCATTTGTTAACCAGCTTTTCTGGGCTATTGAAGGGTTTAATTTTCTACATGTCCACTTGTTACAGTCTCTTTTAGTGACTCTTATAACAAATATAAAGATTTACTATGCACATGATAAACTTGAGTGCCTCAAGCCAAAAAGAAAGTGAACTTTACCATGTGTGAAGGATGTTAAAATGTACTACTGTACATTACTGTACTATAATATTTTGGTTATATCTTTTGCATCTGTAACAGCTTTCTCATCTATCAATTGCTTTGATTTTCTTAGAATCTTAAAATCCTAGAGCCATCTTGTTGTTTTTTTAATTATCAACAACCCTTTTGAAGATCCCATGACTGGTAGTAGAGTGTGGTCTAATTTCTTCCCCCTAAGACTACCAGTATTCATAAATTTATACCTCATGTTGTAATTTGTTCCTGTCAGAAATCAGACCGTCTGACTTATAGAGGATTCTAACACAAGAAGAGTTTTTGAAAAGGCTTATTTTATACCTATATATTATATGGAGAAACAAATTGTTTTTATTAAATGTTTCACTGACCAAAATAATTTTAAAGTAATTAATTTTGCTTACCTTTCTGGAAAAATAATTATAGCAGCTGATCCGTAAATGACTTTAAAAGCTATTTTAGTAATTTAAATAAATTTACTTTTCTTGGTTTGTACTCTTTGTATGTGTTGTAAACTTAATGATTCGTCAACTTTTTTTATATTACTAATCCTAGGGTTTTCTTTACACTTGAACAATTTGAGTGACTTCTGCTGGGAGAAACAAAGGCCACAGAATTGGATCCAGTCACAAGTACATAGGTTAGAAGTAGAATCTCCATGATTTTCTGTTTTATCTTGGGATTTTGAATTATCACTAGAATGAAGTTAATTTAGGTATTCCTGACTTGACAGAAGAATCGGTAGCAGTGTTTCTCAAATTTTTCATTCTCTCCTCACTAAAGAGCCTTTTTAGATAAATTTTTTCGAATCGTCTATCCCCATGAAATTTTAATACCACAAATATTCTGATTCTGGACATCTGTTTATGGACCCTATATAGTTTTGTGCTTTATATGGATGAAGAGTAATATTTTTTGCTCCCCAACGTACCGAGTTTTGCCCATTGGGAATATATGCTCAAGAACAGCTATATTTTAGATCATTGCTACCTAAAATACTCTGTTTTCTGTTTATGTTATAATCTTTTTGCAAGGGAAAATTTAATGCCATTAGCTTGAAAATAGGTACTAGGGCAGTGATGGCGAACCTATGACACGCGTGTCAGAGGTGACACTCGAACTCATTTTTTTGGTTGATTTTTCTTTGTTAAATGGCATTTAAATATATAAAATAAATATCAAAAATTAAGTCTTTGTTTTACTACGGTTGCCAATGTCAAAAAATTTCTATATGTGACACGGCACCAGAGTTAAGTTAGGGTTTTTCAAAATGCTGACACGCCGAGCTCAAAAGGTTCGCCATCACTGCACTAGGGTGTCTAGAGATGAGTCACATTGTGACATTGGGTGACAACATTGGTCCAGGGAAAACCATAGTTCAGTACTGTATCATACAAATGTCTAGAAACTTAATTTGCTTCCCTTTTATGACTTCCTTCTATTTAAGGAAGTTTTCTAAACCTCCAATTCTCAAAACAAAGACCCGAAGTAAACTTGATTTTCATCTTTTTGCATCCACCTCGCCTTCTCTCTAGCAGGCTTGATTCGTAGGTCCTCCTCATCCCATGTCATGCCGCCTTGGGAACTCGGGGTTATTACTGTGTGCGGTTAGCATGATCCAAAAGTACAGAATGGATCTTGAAGGAAAGGGTCGTTGCTGGACCTCCAAAGGAACCCCAGGTAGACATCAAGAACCTTTGACCTCCTGACCTCTGGGGTTTACTGTTGGCAGAAAGCAGACATTGAGTGGATCAAGATAAATCCAGGAGTGGGGAAATGATTGAAGTGATGTGCACATTTCTCCTAAGTGCCTGTGCTCACATGGCTGAATAGACATAGAATCCGGAGAACGGAGGAGGTCAGGGACCCTGTGTGCCACTGGTCAGAAAGTAGATTGATTATAGTCAGATCTTCCCCTTGGCTTCATTCAGTCTGTCTTTCTGGCCCATGGAGTTGAAATTCAAGGCCTCTTGGGAAAGACTGACCCTGTATTTTCCTGTTAAAGCATAATAAATTTTGTAGGCTTCCTATCCGGAGAAGGAAAATAAAGTTCTTTAAATCAAAACAAACAAAAAAACACCCTTGATTTTCATTCTGTGAGGAGAAGTGTAACAGAAGGGTTTACATAGTTCCTGCCTAAACTAAAGACAAACCCCGGTTTCCCTTCAATCCTACATCTTTGGAAAGTGGCCTTTACGTTGGCAATGTAAGGAAGAATTTATTTCTCGCTGAATGTGTAAAGTTAATGGACTATTCTGCCATAGTGTCCCTATCAAGGTCAAGGCAAAATCTTAGGACGATTCTACTGGCATTAGACACCTGGAATGAAGACGTCAGTCCTGAGTCTGGGAAACCAAACTGAGGAAGATGCCATTGACTGTAAAAAGAGGAAACTGAATTTGAATACGTATCTCTCTCCGGCCTAGATTCAGAGGCGTCCTGGCGTTCTTGTGGACTCTTCTGGATGGTAGGAAAAATACAGCCTGTCACCTGAGCATAAACAAGGAATAACCCTTCACAATCTACACATTGTACTCTTCCCTTTTGCACATGCTTGGAACCTTCTGGAATGCTTCATTTCCTGCCCTCTCCCTTTCCCCAGTTTCATGCTCTGCTCATTCATATTTGTTTCTTAAGGCCTTGGGGTTTTTTTTAGACAACTTCACTGAAACCTTCCCTAATTCCCTTCCCCCAAATACTGGTCTGGCTGCCTTGTCTCTGTGCTCTCATTCATCCTGAATCACCACTGACACAGCGGTTAGCACACTCCCACTGTCTTATGCCTCTTGAGAGCAGGTGTGTCGTCATTACATGTACAGTAATCACAATAGAGTGCTCAAATATTTGTTGAATAAAAATTGGACACCTTAACTAGTTAGTTAGAATAGGTTAAGTTGTATCTTTCACAGTGTTTCATTTGCTTTTCCTCGTTATTCCCAAACCTTTTTCTAAAGTTTTATATAACTACTAGAGGCCTGGTGCATGAAATCTGTGCATGGGTAGGGTCCCTAGGCCTGGCCGGCAATCAGGGCCGATCTGTTGGGTGACCAGCGGAGCGATCGGGAGCCCCTGCTAGCACCCGCCTTGGCTGGCCTGGGGGCCTGCGGGCTGGGGGCAGCTCCTGTATTGAGTGTCTGCCCACTGCTGGTCAGTGTGCATCATAGCGACTGGTCATTCAGTCGATTTGCATATTAGGCTTTTATTATATAGGATAGGGTGTCCCCCTATATACACACATATGTAGGATGTCCATCCCCCTATATACACGCTGAATAATTTATTAAAATACACTTCATTTTCAAAATAGAGATATTAGCTGTTAAGTGTATATGCATTTTTGAGGGGACACCCTGTATTTCACCCTGGATTCAGGGCCTATTCCAGTGGTGTAAGGAAATTAACCCTTTTCTGGAGAAGCAAGGATCATAAGTGAGAGGTCCCCAAGGGGAAGGGGAATGACAAGAGACACAGCTGGGAAGGGGAATGATAAGAGACACAGCTGGGAGGCCCTGAGATCTTTCCACAGTGAGATTTGGAATTAGAGTTTCCTTAAAAGAGCTAGCAAGTTTCCTTACATCTTCCCATATTGCCTTAGGATATTATAGTTCAGAGATGGTGTGGGGGGGAAGATGGATTAGAAAGATGAGGAGTGGAATTGACAAGGTTTGATCATTGAAAGTGGTGTCTTCACAGAGGAATCTTCCAAGTGCTGTATTGCTAAGAATCTATTTAGCTCATGTATCTTCTCTCCCAGAAACACTAAGCACACAGTGGTAGGCTGGATTCTTCTCTCTGCATGTCTTGATGTTGACTTTTAGCAGTGTGAAGTAGAAATAGTCATGCATTTAGCCAGGAATTGTTTGATTATAAACAAAAACTCTGTTTAACCAGCAAAAGAGAAGAGGAGGAGGAGTGGAGTGGGCGTTGTAAGGATATACGTCTCAGACCCCATTGCAGGAATATACACCGTGAAGGCTGTTCTGGGTGGAGTCTCAGCAGCCATTCCCTCTGCTTCTCTACTTCCGACTCACTGTGCCTTAGCCACTTCCCCTTTGTGACTTAAACACACCGAGGGGTGGATCTGATTGGAATATCCCTGGTTAATACATGGTTAAACCTCTTTGCCTAGGTCA